CAGTGTCCCCTCTCACGGTGTTTTTGGGGTCCCCTTGCTCACATGGGGCTCCCTGCAGGGCCAAGGACAGGGCAGTTTTCAGACAAGGGGAAACTCTGCTCCTGAGCAGCAGCTTCCTCGGGCAGCACCCTGCCAGAGGCTTCCATCCAGTAGTTTTGCACATCTTTTACTGAGTCAAGGCCACATTTATCTAGCAGGAATTCAAAGTGAAGAGATGTGCCAGGGTGGAGCAGTTGGTGTTTGGTTCACCTGAATTCACACTAAGAGTGCTCTCGTGAGCCCCTGTGCCAGGACATSGTGCCAGGGCTGGGCCAGCTGAAGGCACTGCTGGGACAAACAAACAGCCCAAGCAGACTCTGCTCAGCCTGGACACGCTTGGAGCCCGTGGGGAGCAGAAAGCAGCAGTGCTGTCCATGGCTCAGAGGKGAGAATTGCCAGGGCTCTGCACCTCGGGCTGCTCAGCTCAGACCTGCACCAGCTCAGCTTCTGCCCACCCTCCTGCTCCTGGCTGAAAAACCTSAAAAGCTCAGAGTCAGCCCGAAACAGAGGCTGATGGACCCTCACCAAAAACAGSTCACGGGCTCCAAACTCCCCAAAAGGCCATAAAAGCCAGAAAGAAACCCTTTTACAGGGAGGAAAGAAGTGTGAGACAGCCCTCATGCAAACACCCAGGGCAGCTGATGGAGAGCCTTGGTGATGGCAGCATCCTTCACACAGCATCCTCCACTGCTCCACGGAAGGGAAGGGCTCCCAAAGCAGTTTTCCCTTTGCTCTTGGACACACAGAYATGCTCCTGCAGCAGCGTTTGCATCGCTATTGCAAACCCCAGGCCAGTTTCGTTGGGATGAAATTACCAACCTCATTTCCAGAGAGGGTTAATGACCTTGGACTCTTCTCACTGTGTCTTAAATGTGAGCTATTCCTCATCAGGGAGAACTCAGGATTTGATGCTGCACAGAAATGAACAGCTGAACAACCCAAATCTTGAGAAATGGCTCTGCATACGGTTTCAGAGAAGTCATGGCAGGTTTGGAATTAATCTGGCCAGAAACCACCAGTATATCTACATGCTAACTTGAGTTGAGGCAGGTTTGAAAATACRGCTGAAAAATCCCACCCTGTGAATGATTTCCTTTTCTGAATCTCTGAGCTGCTGTTTATAGAAAGGCAAAGAAGAGCAGCGATGAGGTAAATGTGTTTATGAATGCACTACTGTTACCTTTCTACTCTAACARCTTACAAGAATTACTTTACCACCCTTATTTATTGCTAATCAAGATCAGCACTGGGGGAGGAGACGGAATAAATTCTGCCACAAAGTTTGTGCTGAGTTATTTTTTCTTCATCACGTGAAAGCCGTGGGCCAGGCAGTCCTGTTAATAGCAGAAGGATCCCTTTTCCAGGAGTTTGCTCTTCTTTCTCCCATTTTGCCCAGCCCCTCTCCCAGGGAGCAGCAGAGTCCAAGGGTTCCCAATCTCCCCTGAGCTGCTGTTGGAAGAGTTTCCTCAAAAGCAGCCCCAGCTCCTTTGCCAGGTGATCTCTGCAGCTGCAGAGCAAAGCRTGCTGTGCACTGTGTCAAAGGTACATTTGTTAACACATTTTCCCTGGAGTGCTAATTAACATTTACATCAACTACTGTGAAAATGGAAAAGCTTCAACACAAACTCGTGCTGCAGGGACATGTGAGGAGTAAATTCTGTCCCCTTAGCCCCCACCATGCAGTGCACTGTTTGCCCTTCGGGAGCTGGTGAAAATTCAGTTTGTTTTGTAATCTTCTGTTCTCTAAAATCAGATATTCCTGCAAGTTAATAACTAACCAGCTTCTTTTTTCATTTAAAACCCCCTAAGAGCGTTTGGAATGGTGTGAGAGCAGGGCTGGTGCAGATCTCCACCACAGCACAGGCATTGCCCAGACTAACCACAGRAAAACACAGCATTTTATGATTTTATAATAAACAGAAACAAAAGAACATCAACCACTWTTGCTCAAGATTCAAGCCTCTTAAACTAAACACTAACACAGGAAACACAAACAGAAATATTTTTAGCTGGATCTTCAATTACTGCATTTTGGGATGCTGACAAAGGGCTCTAATGAGCAACACTCGTACCCACAATGAGATGCACACAAAGTTATTTGCAAACACAAATTTGTGCTTGAAAGATGTGAAGGCAGYTGCTGAATGGCTGAATAACAAGTTAGCCTCAATATTATTTCTCAATATTTATTGAGAAGAAGTGTCCTGTCACAGTGCAGCAAAATTTTAAGACTGCAACCAATATAACTAAAATATTATTTCAAAAATCCTCTACATTTTTCCCAGGATGGGGGTAAGTTTTTCCTATTTTTAAAAGGAATAACTAGAAAACATCAGCTTCACAGAAAGAAAATCATATTCTGTSAGCCACAGAAAATAATGTGTAAATCTTCACCTATTCTGTGAACTTTTAGGCCATGACAGAGTGCAKGTTGTTATTCAATCATTTCTCTCCTGCCACAACCATGCACCCTGCCCAGACTCCCATGAATTAAAATCTGTGTCTAAAAAAGCATCAGTAGGCACACGTGCAGATGTAGTAAACATTGACTGAGCACACTTCTTCCAGAAATCAGTTCCTAACCTTCCACCTCCACCGAAATCAGGATCTGAGATGAATAATAAATACTMAGAAAACACAGACTTTTTTATTGCAAACTGCTCTGGAATTCTGTGAACGTATTTTGTTATTATTGCTCACTTGCCAAATATTTGAGGTGAGCAATTTTCAGCCATGATRTTTACAAACTACTCTCATTGTTTTGTCCCTTTTTTCTTCCTTTTTTTTTCTTTTCCTTTTTTGGAGCCTTTCAACTTTGTAAACAAAAAAATAAAAGTAGCAAACAGCAAATGCAGCAGCAATTTGTTGAGGTTTTTTAGAGATGCTGGAGTGAAGGACCCCAAGCACAGATGAGAAGAATTGTCTGGCAGTGCTGTGGGAGATGCGATCAAAGCTGAGCTCATGTTCCAACAGGACAAGGGGATTGTGTTTCTYCTGCTTGACCAGCTCTTCAAACTGATTTTCATTAGACACACACACGTCTGTATTCACTAAGAATAYCTTTTGACAAGTAGCAAGTACTCAGATATTTTCAGATGTCCAGTTTCCTAAGTTCTCTGTCTTAATTTCCAGTAACTCCTGTGAAGAAAAGGCAATCCTGAGCTGGAACCTAAACTGGAACATTTCTGACCTGACCTCCCAGAAACTCCTTCTCCAAAGCACAAATGCCTGGTCTGAAATCCTGCCCTCAGCACAGGCAAAACTTCCACCAGACCCCGGCAAAACTCGTGAACACAACAAGCCCCAGTATTTTTGGGGAAACMAAAATGGGAGGAGAATGTCCAACTTCCAAAATGCTAGTGGTTTAATTTCAAGGAACAGGATGAGATTAATAYAAACATGGTAACCTGCCCAAATTGGAAATCTTTCAAACGTCAAGCACAGGAAACAACAAGGTTTTTTTTTTTCGGCAGGATGTCAGAGTTACCCCCGTGGTTCTATGTGAGCTGAGGACAATGTTGTTATAYGAGATCAAATTACAAACACGAGCAAACAGAAAACAATCTCTGAACGTCACTGTTTGGGATTTGACAAGAAGCACAGCTGAGCCATTCAGGAGGTGAAATGCCCTCGAGTGAGCTCGGGGGAATATGAGGAATTGCTGCTGGACACTGAGTTCCATGCAGTTAAATTGTCCATTTGTATGCTCARATCTTGATGCTTATCTTACCCTACGCTTGCTACAGTTTTACTCAACACATTTGACCYGCAAATCTTAAAGCAGCAGCTTTGCTAAAATTATATGAAGTTTCTGGATTCTCCAAACACCTAAGAAAACTATTTCGGTAGTTCCCACAGCACAGAAATCTMTATTTATTCAGATATTTGAACTTCAGTGAGGTGGATGATAGTTGCTTAAACACACACATTAYCATTTCATTTCTATTCCCAATGTTTCACACAACCTTGCTCTAAAGAATTTCTGAAGTTGTTTACAAAGCTGATGCAGAGGTTGCATTCAGTCTGGCCCAAGGGCAATGGTTTACTGAAGTCACTGGTAAACAGCAGAAAGAATAATATTTTCTGTAACTGAGGAAAGAGGGGGAATAAAAGTTCTCACCTTGCACCAAGGACCATTAGAGACAGAGCTGGTTTCCAAAATATCKGCTCCTTCATTTTCTTCCATGTCTGATTAGCTGCAAACCTTTGTTTTCCAATGCAAACCATTAAATCACCCTCCAATCAAAGTGAAGCAAACCATGAGGGCTCCAGTATCCCGGATTGTGAAAGCCCAATACGGCACACGACGCTTTTATGGTCACCGCTCTAATCCAAGGCTGCAGATCCTGGCTCCGTGCTGGATTTCACAGAGCTTGCATTTTCTTTTAAGCTTTAATAGTTCCCCTTGTCAGGCATTTATCTCCTCCAGCACTTCCTTGTGGATCCAGGTTTTCCCATAACAAGTGGAATCGTTTTGAGGCTGTGGGGGAACAGACACGGAACCTGTGACAGCTCCAGAGGAGCCCAAACACGGAGTGCAATGTGTGGCCACTCCTCTCTGCTGCCAGAGCTGGCCCACACCATAAAACCAGCAGCAAGGTCACCCAGCAACCAACCATTCAATGCCACTGCAGCAATAAAGCCAGCTTACGTTCAGCCTATTGCTTGGATAGATAAATATTTTTATTGGAAGAAAGAAGCCCTGAGAGGATGGCAGGGGTCTGCCTGTTCTGAGCTGAGATTCGTTAATTCGTTAATGAATTATTTTGTTAATCCATGCAAAGCTCTCAGCAGACATTTCTGGCCCACATCMGAACCCCCAAGGCTCTGTTGGTGAATGCCATTGGGGACAAATCCCTAAGCATTTTCCCCCAGGGATGCACAGACCCTGGACCCCAGCAGCCGGGGTGGCTCATGTCCACAGGGTTATCTTGCAGCACAGATCACAAACTCCCATCCAGGTGCCCATAACACTTCCATCTGCCACATGCTCAGCTTTAAAAAGTTCCACTCGTTCTCGAAAGTCTACATAAAATAGGGATGAATTTACAAAACAGCCCCCATTCCCTGCCAGAGTCAGTAAAAACCAGGTTATACCATGGCACTGCCTACGGGAGCTTTCTTCAGCAAAAGGATTCTTCTTCTCAGGAGCAACCACACAGCTAAAGGGGAATACTCASTTGAGAAATGACATTTCTCTCCAAACCCATCGCACACATTCTAGAGGGGCTGCAATAAATATAAATAAAAGCAGGCAACAAAAGAGCAGCCCTCTGTTCTGTTTGCCCTGCGTATCAGGCTGTGCCCCTGAAAAGCTGCTGCCCGAAAATGTCGAAACCAGCTGTGATCTCTGACACCTATTTAAAGACAAACATGGCTTCATTTTCAGTGCAGCCATTTGGTCTGACTTGGGAAAGGCCTCTCTTTAAAGAAAAGAGAGGAATCCAGGGTCATTGGCTACTCTGGGAAATTAAGATTCCCCCTCTCTGATATGCAACCTCTCTTCCTCTCTTTCCACGTGGCAGGAGACAACTTCTTTCCTTCTTCTTTTTTTTTTTTTTTTTTTGGGGGAGGGGGGGTTGGCAAGTGGCAGCTGTGCAGAAAGATTAAAGTTAATTCAGTTCAAATATCAAATATAAGATATTTTTATCCAACACTCATATTGGCAGTATCATTAAAAGTGAGCAGTACAGAAAAKCTGATTTTTCGACCTCTTTCTGCCACTGAAGCACAAAGTGCATAAGTGATTTGGTTGATATAATATGCTCTATTATACTCATCATTAGTCACATAGGATTTCATGAGATATTTCTCAACAATTTAATTAAAAGTGGTCTTYAAGGAGTTTGATATTACATTTTATCAAAATAGTAACTGGAAGTGTCTATCTTTGTGTGACATAATAGTCACAGGCCCTCAAACACTAAGTAGGGTATGTCTGACTGAGCCCACTGGACACAAGGCTTGATTACGTATTTATTTCAAGAAAGTGAAGACAAATGTAACACAAAAGGCAGGAATTATGAAGGCCTAGGTGTGCCTTTATAGAGAGAACGAGGCAACCAGTGAGTGCAGGTTTGGAAAGCAGCAGTTTAGCTCCTCTCTGGCACTGATTGTGTGATTCCAAGAGGTAAATCACAAGTCCTGTGCCACAGTTTCCCCTCCTGTGCTGCCAGACCAGGAGGGAACTGGACCAATCTTTTCCCCAGTTATTCACAAGGGCTGTTTATTACAGCACCTTCAAGGACTCTTTTTTCCACTGTTCCTTTAACTCTCTTGGGTAAAAAAACCTCTGATCGTGAATTGCCATTTGAATTTTAAGAGAGCAGGCAAGAGACCTGCCTGAAATATCAAATTGCTTTGCATTTTGTTTTTTCTCTGGTTTCTCATTACAGGTCACCCATTTAGTGACATATTAGCCATGTTCCAGAGGCAAATCCAGCCTTGCAAATTTTGCTTGCATTGAATACCAAGCATAAGTGCTGTATCTCATTATCCACGTAGGTGTCCATGTTATGTCTTCTGCTTTGATGACATTCTGGGGCAGTAATTTTCACAGGTTTCTTTGGTTTCGAATTGGCCATTTCCTAATTTAAAACAGAGCAATCGAAGGAAAAACTTTCCACATACACAGCATAATGAAAGATAAACTTTCCTATGGTTGCTGTGGAGAAGCAAACTCACAAGGTTTTCAGCTTCAACCTTTCAGTGTAAACCAGACATCTGTTTCGAGTTGTGTCAGATCACAGGAAGGATAGCCCACAGCTTGGTTTACTCCAAACTAATTTAGGAAATCAGAACTCTCCCCATGGCTGAGTCACTTGCTGCTTGGGCAATGACAAGCCAGACACATTTGCCTCTGCAGCTCGCTGGTTGTCCCTGGGAAACGGTGCCAGCTCTTTCCCCAGCCTGGGGATGTAGCCCCAATACAAAACCCATTTGTGCATCTGCAGTCCTGATGTCAAAATCCACCAGGAAAGGAAAGAAAAGGATGAAAAAGAAAAGGKAAAGTGCAGAATGGGTCTAAAGATGGCTTTGAAGTACAGGCTGGGGGTGGAGATCAGGAAGTGAGGGCTGTAATTGCAGCTGGGTATTGGTTTCCTTTTTCATTTCAGGATCACCCACAGCACGCTGGAGTCTCAGAAAGCAGGCAGGGACAACACTCAYCTCTACAGGAGAGCAGAAGCTGCTGGTCACTGCAACAGCTGCAGAGACAAAACAGCTCTTTGCATTTCTAATGCAGAGGCAAACAAAAAGTACCTTGAATGTGCATGAAATTACTTGGACTACTCCTGGACCAGCCAGGAAAGCTAAAAACTATTTTTGTTTCCTAAGGAAGTAACACTGTATTACTTGTGGGCTCTGCCCAAATTCCTTGAAATATTAGTGAACTCAATGGAGTGGAGACATCAGATTTACAAAAGTAGATGGTCCAACAGACAAGAGATCCTGCAAATATCCCCAGAGCAGAAGGCTCCCAGCTGAGCTCAAGCCAGCGAGAAGACCCACGTGGGAAAGCAGCCCAGAGAGAAAGCACGAGTGCCACAGACAGGGTGCATGTGACATCAGCATGGGCAGGTTTGCTCCAGGCTGCCCTGAGCCTGGCACTGCTGGCCCTTGGTGCCACCCCAGCCCTGTGCTGGCCCTTAGTGCCACCCCAGCCCTGTGCCGGCCATTAGTGCCACCCCAGCCCTGTGCCACCCCAGCCCTGTGCCACCCCAGCCCTGTGCCAGCCATTAGTGCCACCCCAGCCCTGTGCCACCCCAGCCCTGTGCCACCCCAGCCCTGTGCTG